TGAGAAAACATGCGATGACAAAAGTGAAAACCAGCGAAGAAATGGCTAGAGTTGCCAAGTTCCCCTTTAACTAGATTTTGTACTTTTTCCCCAAAATCTATAGGTGCACATGAGGAGCGGAATCAAGACCATGACCCGCCTCGCTCAGATCTCTTCTTGTTCCCGGATGAGAGTGGGAATTTTAACCAGGATTCAAGTCCCACTTACCCCATGCTTCACTCTCCTCTCATCACTCCTGTCCCTACACTTGCACAAGAGACGGACGACTTTTGTATCCTGGAGACACCAGGTTCTAGAGGAGAGGTCAGGATATATTCATTCACACAGTTAACGGCTATGTAACAAAATCTGTGTTGGCTCACTGTTAAGCAATTTGTGTTTCAGGATCTTGATCAGGAGCCCGTCGTAAAGCAGCTTACCTCAGACCCTGTGGAAATCAAAGATGATTACTTCAGTCAACCTCTAGATGGGAGTGATTCCAGCCGCGGAGCCATGAACTTTCCCATCCCAGAGGTGCGCTACCTCATCAAGGAGATCTCTGTCATGTGGCACCTCTACGGTGGGAAAGACTTTGGGAGTACGGCTTTCACAGCCTCTCCAGCGAGAAGCCGGGGGTGAGCCATTGACCAAGTAACTGTGCACACTGTTTTAAATGTGCTGAAAGGGAAACAGATCTGTTTATTTTTTCTTGCAGGTCTACACCCCATAGCTCCCCCTCTCAAACTCCTGTTAGACAGGCCAAGGCTTCAGGACGGGCAGGAGGTGGAAGAGGAAGGAACCCTGACGTCCTGATGGAGATACAGCTGAGCAAGGTAAAGTTCCTCTTCCCCTGAAATGAGTATTTATTATGGTACCATCATACAGATGATATAAATACCTTTGGATATTCCTTCAAGCTTTTCTTTTACCTCTTTTCCCTAGGTGAGATTTCAGCACGAGGTGTACCCACAGGCCCAGGTGGCTTCTGGGCCAGCGATGGATCAGCCAGTCTCCCGGCAGGTGTTTGTTGTGCAGGACTTGGAGATTCGAGACAGACTGGCTACGTCACAGATGAACAAGTTCCTCTACCTGTATTCAAGCAAGGAAATGCCCCGAAAAGCCCATTCTAACATGGTGAGGAAAGCAACACACTCACATTAACACATTAACACAGTCAAGTTTGGGCCTGGTGTAACTTCTTGTGTGCTTTTGGTCTTAGCTGACAGTTAAGGCACTGCACATGTGTCCTGAGTCAGGCCAGGCTCCCCAGGAGTGCTGTTTGCGTGTTTCCCTGATGCCGCTTCGCCTCAATATTGATCAGGTAAAGGACTCTTAATGCAGATGATTTTTCAGTATCCTCAGTAACATTTCTTGGAGTAATTAGTTTTTTGTTTGTTTGAAGGATGCACTGTTCTTCTTGAAGGACTTCTTTAGCAGTCTTGCTACTGAAGTTGAGTTTTTCTCACCCCCTGCTCAAGAAGGTAAAATTAATTACTCTTAATTAGTCTAAGGCTTAAACTCAACCATCATTTAACATAAGCCTGACTTTATACTATTGTTTACTGATAATATTTTGTCCCGCAGCCGTCTGTGTTTCCACAAAAAAAGCCACTGCCCCAGAGATCTCCTGCAGCTTCTCCAAGCACGCTGGCAGCAGCCAGGACCCAGCACCCATCATCTCAGTGCCTGCTCAGAGACGTTTGAGCCACAATGGCTTCTCCACGTCTGGCCAGGAAGAAGTGAATGATAGTGAAGCCTCTGCTCCTTCCTTCACAGACCAACCCATCTTCTTTAGGTCAGTGTTAAACAACAAAATCATGGAAAATAATAATTAAATTGCTTGACCTGTGTTTGCTAAAGTTTTCTTTTTCTAACAGGGAGTTTCGATTTACCTCTGAGGTTCCCATTCGCCTGGATTACCATGGGAAACACGTTGCAATGGAGCAGGTAGATGTTGTAAGAGGGGCTATGTATTAATTCCACTTTGTTTCATTTGTGCTTTATGAATAATTTTATAACTGCTCTGTTTCAGGGAACATTTGCAGGAATCATTATCGGGTTGACACAGCTTAACTGTTCAGAGCTGAAACTGAGGCGCTTGTGCTATAGACAAGGGTATGTTTATCTTAGTAATATATTACTGTGTTGTTTATTATTGGATATCTTGGATTCAGTCAGTAATGGAGAACATTTCTTTTACACACCACAGTCACTATTCTAAGAGAACCAATAATATTTCCCTTGAAACTAATACTTGTCTGTACTTCAGATTATTAGGTGTGGATAAGCTGTTCTCCTATGCAATTAATGAGTGGCTAAATGACATAAAGAAGAACCAGCTTCCAGGACTACTGGGTGGTGTGGGACCTATTCACTCACTGGTACAACTGGGTGAGTATAGCACGTGTTCTGAGCCGAGTGTCTCTCGGGTAATGTATTTCCCAGTTGTTAAGATGAATGTTCTGTTCAGTTCAGGGATTCAGGGACTTGGTGTGGCTCCCAATTGAGCAGTACAGAAAAGATGGTCGGATAGTCCGTGGGTTTCAGCGCGGCACCGCCTCCTTTGGAACTTCTACTGCTATGGCTGCTCTGGAGCTCACTAACAGGATGGTGCGGACCATCCAGGTAAACTTTCCACTATGACTAAAACGTTTATGTTCACTACTAATGCCTTCATGAGGCATCAGACAAATCTATTGTGTGTGTGTATATTTTTAGGCAGCAGCTGAGACGGCCTACGACATGGTGTCTCCAGTGCCTGATGAGAGAGACACAAAGAGGATAAAACGGTTCTCCCATTACGGACTAGCTCATCAGCCTGTTGACCTGAGGGAAGGTGTAGCCAAAGCCTATACGGTGGTAAAAGAGGTAAAAAAACAAACAAATATTTGAATTCCAGTAACAATATTGAAAAGAAACTGTTTTTAATTAGGATTTTATGTTGTTTCCATCTACAGGGGATCACAGACACGGCACTGACCATCTATGACACGGCCACCCGGGAGCACGAGCAGCGTGGGATGACGGGGGCAGTGGGCGGAGTTCTCCGCCAGCTGCCACCAGCAGTGGTCAAGCCACTCATTATGGCCACTGAAGCCACCTCCAATGTCTTGGGTGGGATGAGGAACCAGATTCACCCTGACGCCCGCCAGGAGGAGTCTCAGAAATGGAGGCAGGGGGAGGAGTAATTCTTGTTGCCATGTGTACCTGAAACCATGACTGTGCAGAAGCTAGTAAACGTGTTGGAACATTTTTTTTAGAGCAATTTTGAAGAGGAACATCTCAGAGGTGCACATACAGCCCCAGTGTAAATAAAACACTGTTCATCTCGTGGCAATTTGAGCTACTGTAGTTCAGCTTGTGTCAGCTTACCAGTTCCCCCACAGTGCCTTCATGGTTATCAGCATCGTCCAACTGTACGTTTAATCAAAGGGATGTAATGTAGAGTGATGAATTGATGAGCCACATGTGGTCTACATGTGGTTTATGTTCTATTGTGGGATAGATAATGGCATTATAGCTATAAGATCATAACAATGAAGAAATAGGCTCTTGTCTCATGAGGCGCTAACATTTGCTTCATTCTGAAACAGCTTTGTTTACAAGTTGTGTGTTGCTACGATCACTTATCCTACTTGGTGTCGACAAACACTAATATTATAGGTGTAATGACCCTTAATTTATATACCATGCACTGTATGTGGGCCTTGTTATTTACTGTAAATATTTCTAATGCGTAACATTTCATGCAAATATAAGAACAAGTGTAGAAACTGAATGTGTTACAGCTGTGTAAAGTTCTGTAATCAGCACTTTTAAGTGACTTAATGGTTAATTTCTCAAATGAATGATAGATTACCCAGATTTGTTACAAAGGTTCACAATTTTATTTTGAGCTGTGATCAATGTGTCATTTTTTTGTTGTTGCAAAAGCTGCTTGTTCTGAAAAGCTGCTTTTAAACTTTCAAAAGTTCCAAATGTAAGTCTGCTGCTCACATTTTAAATTGTAGACACAAACTTGTACAAGAAGTCTTACTATCCTGCGCAATTGATTTTTTTAAGTGTATGTTTGAATATTAGTAATTGGTGTGATATGTTGTGTTGCACACTTTTTTTTGCCCATTTTGTTGTTTATGTGGACAGGATGATATTTCTTGTACATAAGTGTACAGTCGACTGATGAATTTGTATTAAAAGCATGGAAGGGAAATAAAAAATGGTTAAATCCTCCAGAGTAGATTGTAGTTGGATGTGGTTTATACTTCTCATAACTGAATGTGTGGACAGGCTTGGGGAGTAATGAATTACATGTAACAGAGTTATGTAATCAGGATACAAAATCAGTTACAGAAACAAATATGTGATCAGATAACAGTTACACTTTACAATTTTGAAATACATCAGTTTTTCTTTAAAAATACACGAAGCAGAGGACACGCTGTTGATGCTAAAAATCTTAAATTTCCATTTTTTTCTGTTTTCATCTTTTGAAAGGAAAGAGAATCCTTAAAGAATACACACAACGGAAAGTAATCAAGTTACTTTAATATTGTGATACTTGGATTAGGTTACTGACTAAAAGTTTTAACAGGTAATTAGTAATTGTATCGGATTACAACTTTAAAGTAACCCTCCCAACCATTTTTATTGAATCTGTAGACATATGTACATTATAGTGTGGCCAGTCTTAGATCTGATGGGGGGGGACACTTGTTGACACTAAAGTTGTCATGAAGGATTTTCCGTTTCTTTTGAGGAAAAAACTTCTTTTAATTTTGATGTGCAGCAGTTTCGTGCTTTTATTCTGGACAACACGCAACATTTGTCACCAACGGTCGCCAAGAAATTTATTTTGAAATATGTAAGCGGTTAAATCGGAAGTTGTCCTTTTTGCCATGGAAACAGGAGGACGAGGCACATTTTATTATGCTGTAAAGCTCCTCAGTTTCCACTCCCTGCTCATCCTACCTATAGTTTTAGGCGATGGTGGACGTAGCTGCTGATTTGAGCAGTTTATCTTTTGAGGTTGGACTGACGGAGGATGAGAAACAGTTACTCCACCTGCGTGCTCGCTCGGCTGGACTGACATTTTGCGGGAGCGCGCACGCAGTTTTCCTGTGTAAGCTCGTCCAGTCCCTGAGGTAATTCATCTGCAGGTCCATGTCAAGTGTTTGTGACACATAGGACAAAACTATTTTAACTTTTAGCGTGCTATTTATTTTTAGATGTGTCATCACAAGTCACACTGCAAACGGAGACTCATCGGGAGCTGACAGTGACCCCTGCGTTGGGATTCTTGGGCTGGGTCACATGGGGAAACAGTTGCTCCTCTCCCTGCTGGAAAACTCTGGCATCAAACCATCACACATTAAGATCTCTAAAAGAAGACCAGAATCCGCAGGTATACTGACAAAATAAGTCACTTCAAGGCACTCAAAAGTCCCAAACTCACTAACACACTGTGTCATAGTGCAGGCTTGTGTTGCTCTCTTCTGCAAGTCAGATGCCAATAATCCCCGTTGACTACATCAGTAATGAAAGACATTAATATAAAATAATTTATACAGACTTTGGAGCATTGTCTCTAAAACAAATGCATGTATTTGTGTAAGGACTGAACTTTTAATAACTAACTAATTATGCTTTTTATACTTCTTGAGTTTGCCATGTTCTTAAAAAATAATATGCTCAGAGTAGAGTTTTGAAATTGCTAAATTAATGATGAAACATGAGTTTATTTAAGTAAACTGCACCCTGAGCTTCCTTCCTTGTACAAAAAAAAGAAGCTATACTGATATATTCAAGATCCCGTGCTTGTGTTTGCCTCGCTGCTTCGCTGTTTCAGTGGGAATTATCCAAACAGGAGTTGAATGTTTCTTCGACAATCGCAGACTGGCAGCGTGGGCAGACGTTCTGTTCCTCTGCTGTCTGCCCTCTCACCTCCCAGAAGTCTGCGCTGATCTCCACTCTCACCTGTCAAAGCGCTGCCTTGTGTACAGCTTCCCCTCTGCTGTGTCTGCCACCAGGTACCACCACACTCACACACATGCGTCATTGTTGTTAATTTTCAGTTCACTGAGTCCCTTTCTTTAAATCTTTTATTTTTCAGACTGGCACAGCTTCTTGGGCACGACTTCGTTCTCAAACCACAGTATGACTTTGTTGCCTGTGACGCTGCAGATGTGTGGCTGTCCCGCACTCGTCTGACCACAGCTCTGAAGGATCCTTTGCTGATAGAGGCATCCTGTCCACTTACAATGAGCGGTATGTCATCTTTCATTATTGGAGACTTCTTCCTCAGAGCTTGTCATGTTATATAAGATGTGCGTTAATTAAGTTGTATTCCTGTATAACTGTTTAATACGACTTGTGATTCCCATATTTAGGTGGCATTTCTCTGGATCTGAACTGGGTGTGTGCCGTGTTGTACAGCCTGCTAAATATCTGCACCTCTGCCGGTCTGGGATCCAGTGATGCTCTCTCTCTGATCAACGGCCTCCTTAATGAGAAATGTCCACACACTGTGGAATTAAACGCTCAGAGTTTCATCAGTGCATCTTACGCATCTTTGCTTCTTACAGAGGAGTGAGTGCAACAGTGTACAGCTCAAGAATAGATTCATTTCTGAATTCACTCAGTCTGCTCCAGCTTTTCACTGCAATGCAGTGTTGAAAGAAACCACTTATTTAAATGTTCCGTGTCTTTTTTCTTCTCCACAAAGGCCTTTTCCCTGGATTAATCTCACTGATGCTCAGACCAAGAAGACACCACTGATGTGCTTTCTATCAAGCAGCAAATCAATGCAACAGTGCATCTCTGCAGCATACAAATCACTGCTAGAAGCACCAGTTACAGTCTAATGTAAAACTTTATATCCTCTAAAGATGTCCAGCACAGACATTGTGTTCCTTAAGATAAAACAAATAATAATGTAATGCAAGATTACATTTGAATAAATCGGTCTGTGTATTTTGTGATGTTTGGTTTTTACATACATAATCAGAATGGTAAATATGTGGAAAAACTATATTTTACAATGTACAAAAAGCTGCAATATTCTGTATTTTCTGCAATATATATTGCAAATGCAATATAAATAAAAATGTTTGAAATGAAAGTCGACTCATCATTAATCACACATCTGTTGATCTGTCATATTTCCACTGCAAGAAATAAAACACACTAACAAAAACGAGGAAAAAAAACATGAAATAAATCAGTGTGTGCTGTGGCCATTGTTTTAAAATGTACAGCTGTACGGGTAAACTATTATACTACTATGAATCTGTTCCTATGAATGTATCCGGAGGAGCTGAGGGAACACTTTAACCCTTTAAAGGATCTCGGTAGTTCAGACTCGCAGATTTTCGTCAAGACTCGAGAAAACACGGAAGTGTCAGAAATCAGTCTGTTTTTTCCTGTCGGGAGCAGCACCGTGGACAGAGACCGTCACATGATCGCACTGATACAGAGGCGTATTTCCCGATGGCCTGAGCTGGACTGAAGTAACATCGTGTCGAGTTATCAGACCACCCGTGTTACACACCGTGGTAAGAGAAGTTAGACTCTGTTGTCTTCATCCGCACTTTCTCTGCTGGCGAGGTAGCTAGCGTGAGCTAACCAGCTAGCTGCAGGCTAATGTCAGTTCATGAAGATAAAGCTAGATAGAGCTAATGACAGATACACACACTTTTGGCTTCCACGGCTTTATATTTAAATTCACTAATGTGTGCTGTGGTTACCACGGCCCATTAGTGTCAAACAGCAGTTCATTTTAGGTAGTTTATCTGCGTTTATGAGGCTAGTTTGAGTGTTGTCACCGTCCCCTCCCGCCCTGCGAGGGGAGGGGCGGGGTTAGATCTCTTGCAGCCACGCAGGCTGAGGTGTTTGTCTTGTCTTTACAGTCATGGAGAGATTAGAGGCTGCATCAGAGCTCCAGTCGCGGCTGTCGTCCCTGTCCTTCTCGTCGTTCCCCGGAATCACATCCAAACAGTGCGACAACCGACCGCTGGACAGGTAGCCTGTTGCTGCAGAAAGTGCTGCTTGTAAAGCTACTGTAAGGAAACGCATTGCTAGTTGTACTTGTCGCATCCTGATGTCTTCACTGTTGAATAATTGTGATGTGTGTCCTGCTGCTATACTGTCTGCTCTTCAGGCTCCAGAACACGGACCTTTCACAGAGCTGCGCCCAGTCCAAGAACCAAGCTGACATGGATGAAACCAAGGAGGATTCAGGGCAACATGCTGAGGTAGTTAATATTTAAGCATGCTGGAAGGGCTGTCATTGAGTGGCAATAAACAGGGAGGTGTACTATATATTTTCTAAGCCATAACATCAGTCTTGTGTGAATGCATTTTGAGGGTAATCAAGAGGCCCCTGCTGAGCCGGCCCCTGGGGAAGGAAGCGAGGAGAACAACAGCGCTGGGAGCTGTCAACCCTCCGCTGAGATGAAAGGTGAGGGATCTGCTGAGTGTGCCATCATGACTGCTGCTTTGTTTATTTATATTCTGAGGTTTCATAAATGAGCTGTTTTATAGTGTGTTTATAGTGTAGTAGCAGCTCTAAAAACATCAATTTGCATACAATTTATTTGTGACTACTGCTAGATGAATAATTATCACAGTTGCTGTTATGCTCTTTGTGGACACATTGCCATTTGTTGCTCCTGATGGCAGCCCAGATGCCCCCTCTTAACCCCCCAACAACATGGACATCTGCTGCACTGAAGGAGCTAAAGGCAAAGCTTCGAATGGAGGAGGACAGCGTGGTGACAGTGTACCGAGGCGACATCATGACAGTTCACGTGCCCACTGTCCCCGAGGCCAAAAAAGTGTGCTGGGAGTTTGCTACAGACGGCTACGACATTGGCTTTGGCATATATTTTGACTGGACTCCTGTCACCAGCCGGTCTATCACAGTGCACATCAGCGAGTCAAGTGATGACGAAGATGAAGAGGAGGAGCTGGAAGGTCAGTCAGCGAGAAATTCAGAATTCAAAGCGGCCTGGTTTTAGTTGGCACTTTGGCTTGTTTTAAAGCCTTTTCACTGGATGCCTCAGTTATCATTCTGTAAAACATATCAGTCGCTCTCTATCTACAACACACATCATAATTGCGTGTTTTTTATGTGTTTTCCTCCAGCTGGGATCTGAGGCAGCGTGTTGACTTTGTGGTTTATGTGCTCTCTGTTGCAGGGCCCGTCGGTAACGGAGACGTCGAGAAGGGCTCCAAAAATCAAACCAACTCAAACTTGGCTGAAATCTTACCTGTATACCGCCAGGACAGTCACTTGTCCGTCAACGGGGGGAGCCACGATTTTCCAGGTGAAGGCACTTACCTCCTGAAGTTCGATAACTCCTACTCACTATGGCGAAATAAAACTCTTTACTACAGAGTTTATTACAGTGCCTGAGATGCCAATTTACTGTTTATGAATGTATGCTTTACATAAGAATACTTCCCTTAAGAACTATTTTTTGATTCCTTACTTGGAAAAAAGTTATAATATAAAAGGTTAAATATAGGCATATCTATTTTTTATCACTATCAGCTTGTGTTGCCATTTGTTGAGTTTACGTAAACGGTCAGATAGTTTTGAACGCAACATTTGCTCCAATGTCTCGCTGATAGATATTTGATGAAGCCTTGCATATGTGCCATATTCCTATGTATGCACTGTGCTACGTCAGTGCCCATCATAAAACATATATCGGTCGTCACATTTCTATGGTAGCAGTGATCAGGGAACACCTGCACAGAATATATTTCCCTAGTCCAGGTGCTTAATCAGCAGTGCTCTACAGAAATGAAGGTTTTTTTTTGTTGTGTGTGTGTATACGAGCACTTTCTGTGATTATGGTTATGTTGCTTTGTTGGTGTTACTTATATTTATCCTTCTGCTTTGTAGCATAACTTATTTTCTATCTGTGTTAAATCGAATCATGTGATAATGGAGAATATAATTACGTGATACAAATTCTGTGCACAGAGCCGTCTACTGTCATAGTGGTGTGTTGGTAAAAAGTTGAATGTACCGAAAGCAAGTGTGCTTTTTATGACACAAATAAAAGTCATCCCTTATCGCATAAAGCTCTTATTATGTAATATTGATTCAATATTTACATTTGCCTCACCCCCACCCTTTAATTTGCTTTTTCTGAGCTAGGGAGCGGTTGTAATAGTCCATCTAAATGTATTTTGTGCACAAGGTCTATGTAAGTAAAGGTCAGTGTGTTTGTTTTTGAATATCCTCAGCGTGATGAACAGCCTCGTTCCATCCTGTTTCTGAAATCAGTGCTTCTGCTACACCTCACTTGTGCGCATGTTCCCAAAGATGTCACAGATTTGGCTGCTAATGCTGTATACAATGTAAAGCAACTGGTTTAAAGCTTCCCATGTTTGCTGTACTGTACCTTTACTGTAAGTTATGATGACATTTGTTCCTGAAATTTATATTCGAAAAATAAAGATAAGATTGTGATTTCTGTGTGGTTTATTTGGGAATTGCATTCATCGTACTGTGATTAGCAGATGGTAGTTTAGGTAAACGTTGCACCATCACACTTGAGAGATGTCATTAAGACTGCTGGTGTATGTGTGTAGTCTCCAACCAACCAAATCTGTCTGTTCCACCCGAGATGTCGTCATTTCATAACAGTCTCACTGCTGATCCAGGATTAGAAAGCGCTCCAGGATGGTCCCCTGTGCTTCCATTAAATCGTGGCACAGAGGGATTGATGTTATTGTTACAGAGGTGCTGATGAAACCAGATTTTATTTTCAGCTCTCCCCAAAGGCCAGTCAGAATCCAGAGTTACATCTGGTGTCACTCATGTTTTACTGGATTGATAAAAACAAGTCGGAGAAACATTCTGAAATTGCTCTTATATGTTGCTATTCCCAATTTCATGTTTTAGTTACAGTACTAGTTAAGTAGTTAAAGTACGACATTCATTCAGTTAGAGTTTGATGATGATTTGAGGAGATATATACACTGTTGCAGCCAGCACAATCTAGTACGATTTATTTATTATTTGTTGTGTTCCTGCTGCTGATTAAACAATGAAGGCATAAGATTGTAGATAAAGATAAAGAATGTGTTTTCAGTGACTCCCATTACTTACTGCACATGAGGGAGGCAGAAAGATAACACAAACCATTACAACATCACTCTGTAGAGCCTTGAAATTGGCTAAATGTAATAGATTAAATCAAAGATATTACTGAATCCATCAGTAATTAGTAGTGTTGTGTAATTAAAAGGTATCTTAATCTTAGTCTTTAAAATCTATCATTAATCTCCAGACATTTAGTTTTTTTCTTGAACTAACAATCGGTTGATAAATGAAAACATAATTTATTATAAAATAAATCAAGTCAGTTTCTGGGCTCCATAAACCACAGCCTCATTAATGACCATAGAGATGAATGAACGTCTCTGACGTGACCATAAAAACTGAACAGATGAAGCATTTTGTCAAATATAATTAATCTGTGTTTCTTTATCCAGGGAAATAAAAGGCTAAGAGTGGTAAACAATAGTAATAATCTTACTTCTTAAATAAAATGACTTCTGTCTTTTTTTAGTAATTTCCATTTATATTTTCTTCCGCTTACACAGGGCAGAAACGAGTACATGAAAGGTTTTTTGCTTTTTAAATAAGTTCTACTATACATACAGTGCATTGCTCTGTAACACCAAACAATCCAGGTGTTGCGTTTCTGGTCATTAATAAATTAATTGTACTGCGGTCTCACGTGCGCGTTTCCACCACGGCCTCGAGCTCGAGTCAGCCAATCAGAGGTGATTACCGGAGCTCGAGGCTGGGCCAAAGTTTTACTAGCTGCTTGTCTTCAGACACTAGTTGATGAGGCGACCCTGAACCAACAATGGGGAGGCTGAATTTCTACGTCCTTTGGTCCCTGCGTGACGCTCCCCGCCAGTTCATCAGGTAGGCCTCCACATTCAGTCGTTTTGAACTCTGAAGCAACCACTCAAACCTTGTCCGGGTCTCACCTCCCGCAGCAAATCCAACCGGAGGTGCTTTCAAGTCCACGTCCCACTGCCTCTTCCCAAACACCTGGTCATCTTTGGTCTCGGGGAATGGAAATGTAATGAGACAATCTCAGTAGAAGTTCTGGTCAGTGCAGAAGTACCGGCCCAGAACATTGGGACCCTGTCACCACAAGCAAGGTATGTAGAAGAAAGGTATTAGTGACTTTCCACACAACCCCCCCCCCCCCCCCTTCAGTCCAAATTGGTATAATCCACTCTGAACCCAGGTGCCTGACCTGGGAGGGTGTCTGGAGCGCTGACATTGTCACAGTGGCAGCAGAGAGAGGCAGGAGGGGAGTTTATGGCAAGATTGTGCTCTCAGTGTGCGGAGAGGTAGGTTTCAGTTGTTAGCACAGAGATGGCTGTTCCTAGTTAATGTTCAGCATAAGGAAAACAACAAGCAGGTATCCTAAAACATATACCTGACAATGATACTTTACTCAATAGTTTTCTGCATTTAGAAGGCATCATTTTGTACATTTTCACTGTTTTTGTGCACTGACTAGCCACAGGATGAAGTCTTCAGCAGCACTCCTCTGGTTCAAAGGAAATGTCTGTTCCCAGAAGAGCACAACACCACCGATCTCTCTTGCACATTACCCCAAAGCACTGGAAATGAAACGGTGAGATAAACAGGGTTAAAATGGTTTTTGTAGCCTCCACCTTTGCTGCCAGATTTCATCGTTGTCCTGCCTTGCAGATAACTACCAACTCCTCACACCTGGGTGATAGTGTCTGCTATGCTGAGATCCAAGTTAATAGAATTGACACCAGTGATTCAACTATGAGAAATAAACCCCTAGTTTGGCCTACGGTAAGAGTCATGCTTAAGAATATATTGATGTCTGAGTGTGGGTGGGGTTACTTATTCTGTGATACGGTGCAAATGAAAGGATAAGACACCCAGACGGACAGTAATTAGTAAGAGAGGCCACCTGACATGGAGCTCTGAGGACATGGACAGTCTCGCTGAGGACATAGAACAGGCTTCAACCCCCAAGAAAAAGAGGCTGTCCAGGATGAGCAGCCAAGAAGAAATGACTGCACAGATAAAGAACGAGAACAGAGAAGGTAAGAAACAGGAACTTAACAACCGTTGCAGTCAGTGTGCGAACTATACTAAGACAGTTGGTTTTATCTTTGAGTTTAAGTGATGAAGCATTAGACACTGTCACACACCACTTGCAGTGGTGATGGCAAGAATCTTTATTAGAATTGGTGACGAATCACCCTCGTGCAAGAATCATACATTAATAATAGCCTGTTTTTACACACAAGCCATTCTAATGCAGATAAAGAAAGTAGCAATGCTTGGGGGAAAAAATAGCATATTGTCAGTACCCCTCACAGACACACACAAAATGGGTTTTCATAGAGATTTGCGTTTAGTTTCAGTGTGTCCATCAAAGCGCTGGAGCCACACGATCTGTCTGAGTGACCCTGACACAGCCATCCTCATCGGAGGGGAGACGGCAGATCAAAACTACTGCAAGGACTCTCTGTGGAAGCTCGAGTTAGGTCAGTGGAGTTTGTTGAATCATTTGTTGGGTCATATATTGCTTATTGATCAGCGTCCATAAAGACTGTCAGCTTGCTGGTAGCATATCATAAGGGGAAATTGTTTACAACCCAAGAAGGAATTACAGTTCCTCTCCACAAAATATGTTCTTCTTGTTCCCGCAGTTGGATGTTTGAGCTTCATTGTGCAGAATGTTTGTGCAGAGTTCGACACTAGAAGGAGGTTTTCACATTCATCT